GGCTCTTGCGGGCTGCAGGGGCCTGGGCAGCAGAGGGCCAAGGGGCCCGCCGAGGCCTGTGGAACCCTGGCACGGGAGGGGCCAGTTCCCCGCACGGAACTGGAAGGCTGGAGGGCTGCCCCCACGGCGCAGGGTGCGAGCTCACCCGTGGCCTGCAGCGGGGCGCTGGGGAAGAAATCTCACCTCCCACCCTCCTAGCCTCCCCGCCTGGCAGGGGCTGCAGCTGCAAGGGGGTCGGTGGGCAGAGAGCTGGGCAGGGGGGGGGTCACAGGGAGTCTGCCCCCGCCTCTAGGGGGCGTCGGCACTGTGCAGGGGAGATGCGGGCTGAGCCGCCCTGCGCCGCACAGTGACACCAGCACACCCTTGGCCTCTCGCTCCTCACCCGCGGGCCTTGCCGCAGCATGGACTTAACACCCAGTGTCCGCTCCTTGACACCAGGTTCTGGGAAGAGGAAGACACTAGTGCAAATCAGTTGGCAAGGAGGCAGGACATAACCTCAAAGCTGCCCCGCTCCAGGAAAGAAACGCGGTTTTTATGCTGCCTCGGAGAGAGCAGGTTTGAGAACAAAGGAGTTCAATACGTGTTGTTTAAGATTCATCTGGGGCCTCCCTGGAAGGGCAAGGGGTTAAAGTGCAGCACTATGAAGCTGTCATCAGCCACTGCAGCACGAGTTTGACGCCCGCCAGGGAGGGACCCCCAGGGCGCAGCAGACCTCTCCTGTCGCCCCTCGGCAGTGTACTTCGTCAGTCTGCCTGTTCTGCTCCCCACTCTGTCTCTGGTGAAACTTCTCACCCCCACCCCACACCTCTGGCCTATGCTCCAACTCTTTTATGCATACATAAATCTTTTTTTTTTTAAAGATTTTTTTTAAAGATTTATTTATTTATGCATACAGACCTGGGGTACCGGCCAGAGGTGCAGGGGCAGTGAAAGGATTCACCAGAGACAGAGTGGGGAGCAGAACAGGCAGCTCGGCAAAGTACACTGCTGAGGGGAGCATCTGCCGGGCCCTGTGGGTCCCTCCCTGGAGGGGATCAAACGAGCTGAAGCGGCTGCTATAGCTTCACAGTGCCACCAGGGGGCGCTCCCAAGGCGCTCTGTGTGCCTCTCTGTCACCCTACCTTGATTGTCCTGTAGCCGCACAGGGTGGGCTCCTGCCCGGGCGCATGGCATCGCAGCCCCGGAGTCCTGGCTCGAGCTTCGCTTGCTGCCCGCCACCCCAGGCCTCCTGAGAGCGCCACCTTGTGGGCAGATCCGCGCGCAGGGCCTGGCGCGCAGAAGGCAGCTGAATGGAGACCACTACAGGGCCGCATCATCCTCCCAGCCACCCTGCAAAGGGGAAACAGGCTCGGAAAGGTAAAACCATCAGACTCAAGTCCTCTGGGGAGTAAGAGGAGGGGCCCTTTTGGTGGCCTGCAGGGGCCGTCCTGCCCTGAGGCGGCTCTCCAGCGACTCCTGGAATGGGAACAGACTCTGCCTACTTGCTGCTGAAGCCCAATACTGGTCTGCCAGTCTCCACCTCCAAACAGGCAGCATCTACCGTGAGACCCAGGCCCCGACGTGCACTCCCCATGGGCTCGCCAGCAGGGTGATGTGGACAGGCCCTCAGCCTGTCCTGGCCCAGCCGCCTCATCTGCAGATTGGGCAGGATGACACAACCCGACTCACGTATCATCCTGAGGATGAGAAGCGATCACTCCTGCACCACTCCTGGTTGGCCTTGCCCAAACACCCCGGTGCCCCTGTAGCTAGAGTGTGGAGCGGAAGCCCCGAGGACTGTCTTCCTGTGACCGCTGCTGTCTGGAGGCCCAGCGGAGCATGGATGTTTCATACAGAAGAAACAGCCCCCAGGTGTCCCGTTAGGAAGCCCCCAGGGACATCACAACCACTGGCCTCTGGCTGAGCTACAGAGGTGGGGCAGGCCAGGTTGCTGACGGCTGCAGACGGCTGCAGATTTCAGGGACCATGGACCTTGGAGAAGCTTCTGCATCCCTGTCTCTGTAGAAAGAAACCAGATCCCATTTCTCTCAGTTCACATTTTGTTTTGGCAACCAATTAACTTGGGAAGATTAAATTCCCCGTTCTTATTTAAATTTTTAAAGAAAATTGAAAGAACAGAAGCCCTCCCCCCAAATTCTTAGCGTGGTGTCTGATCCAAAGACAACATACACCAAGTGTTGACACAGTTGACCCTGAACAGTGCAGGACTACAGGGGCCAGTTCCCCCGCTCTCAAAAATCCTGTAAAACTTTTTTAAAAAAAGATTTATTTATTTATGCACACAGAACTGGGGTACAGGACAGAGGTGCAGGGGCAGTGAGAGGCTTCACCAGAGACAGAGTGGGGAGCAGAACAGGCAGATCGACGAAGTCCACTGCTGAGGGGAGCAGCGGGGAAGACAGATGTCTGCTATGCCACGTGGGTCACTCCCTGACCGGGGATCAAATCAGGTCACAGTGGCTGGCAATAGCTTCATTGTGCGGAGTCTTTAAGCCCAGTACCGCCCAGGAGGCCCTTACTCCTGTTCCTGCTCTGTAAAACGGGGAGTACAGGGGCAGTGAGAGGATTCATTAAGGAGTGGGGAGCAGAACAGGCAGATTGACAAACTACACTTCTGAGGGGAGCAGCGGGGAGGCAGGAGAGGTCTACTGCACCCTGTGGGTTACTCCCTGGCCGGGGATCGAACTTGCACTGAAGTGGCTGCAGGTAGCTTCATCACACTGTACTTAACCCACTGCGCCAGCAGGGAGGACCCTGTATAGCCTAAGTGCAGCTGTCCCCTGGTGTCGCGGCACCTCCGCAGAACCGAGAATATACAAGAAGATCCAGTCCCCTGGGCAGCCGTCCACATCCTTGGGTTCTGAATCCTCGGGCTGAACCCATGAGTGCGGGGCCCTTGATATAGAGCCCAGGCTTACATCCGCGAACCTGCACGCTTCAAGCCTCTCTTGTTCAAGGGCCCACGGCATCATGTTTATTACTGTGTCCTCTAGCTCTCACCTGTTTCATAGAAGTGTGAGGTCAAGTCACACCACAGTGAAAAACAGAAAGCCTGCCCAGCCTCAGGCCGGCAGTGTGGACATCCTGCGTGAGCACCGCAGCCGCATGGTGCAGCCGCATAAGCAGCCTGCCGCTGACACTCACCTGCGCCTCCAACTGCTGCCAGAGCTGTTTTAATTTTTTTTTTAAGATTTATTTTATTTGTGCATACAGAACTGGGGTACAGGCCAGAGGCTCAGGGGCAGCGAGAGGCTTCACCAGAGACAGAGCGGGGAGCAGAACAGGCAGATCGACGAAGTCCACTGCTGAGGGGAGCAGCGGGGGGTCAGGAGAGGTCTGCGGCGCCATGGGGTCACCTCCGGGGCAGGCGGGAATCGAACTCATGCGGAAGCGGCTTTAGATTCTCAGTGCTGTGCTTTAACCCGCTGCGCCACCAGGGAGGGCCGGAGGGCCTAATTTTTAAAAAGATTTATTTATGCACACAGAACTGGGGTACAGGCCAAAGGTGCAGGGGCAGTGAGAGGCTTCATCAGAGACAAGAGTAGGGAGCAGAACAGGTAGATCAATGAAGTCCAATGCTGAGGGGAGCAGCGGGCAACACAGGTCTGCTGAGCCATATGGGTCACTCCCTGGCCGGGTATCAAACTCAGGCCCTAGTGGGGACAGCCCTCATCTTCCAAGAGAACCAGCTAAAGTTCTGATTCATGTGTCTTTCCATAGCAGTAGCGAATCTCCCTCTGTTCATGTTGTGTGTGTGCGTATCAGTAAATGCTGTCTGAAAGGTTGTAGATGTTTCTGTACTTCCAGAATGTACTGGTTGTCGCAATGGGCAACTGAGACTGACCGCTGGACTGTGAGGAGCTGCCCCTCTGTCCCAACCCCACCCAGAGGAGAGCTAGCAGCAGCCAGGACAATGTCTGGCAACTGACTTTGACTCTTCTTCCTGGCATTCAGGAAATAAAGTGGAAGATCTGTGGTTGGTAAATTTTACAAATTGGTCAATATCTGTACAGTTAATCACTTGGCCTTCCCTCAAAATCTGGTTTACTGTTTGTTTCTTTTGTTTTTTTTTCCCTCCAAAACTTGTTAATGAACCCATGAGGTCCTCATCCTTCCTCTCACAGAAAACCATGTTTCTGTCCACATTCTATCCTGGTCAGAACAGCTAAGAACTGTGAAAGGGGCCTCCCTCGTGGCCTAGGGGATAAGTCAGCACTGTCACTGCTATGGCCTGAGTTCGATCCCCGGCCAGTGACCCACAGGGCACAGCAGACCCCTCCTGTCTCCCGCTGCTCCCCTCAGCAGTGTGTTGTACTCCTGGATCTGTCTCTGGTGAACCCTCTCACCCCAGCCCCATCACCACCTCTGGCATATACCCTAGTTCTTCTATGCAAAAAACAACATTAAAAAATAAAAGAACTGTGGAACGTCTCTGATTTTACCATACTTTGAAATAAACAAGTTAGAGTGACACAAACATGGATGTAAGCAGAGGACATAAGATTTGTGTCAGAGGCAAAGGACTGTCACTCACGGGCACCAAGACTTATGCGTGTGGGCATCTTTGTGTCACTTGTCGTTACCCTCAAGTCTCACGCAGGTAATGCAGATGCGCTCACATGGATCTCTCCATAGGCGCGGATATATGCTGCAGAGGAGGAGTCTAAACTTAGAGTACCCAGGTACTTTTTAAAGGGCAGGATCTATATCTGCCCTTCGCACTAGAGGGAGCCACTGCCACTGTCCCCCAAGGCTGCTCACCATAAAATACCCCGGAAAGGACAGTCCAGAACCAAGGTAATGTTTCTGCTCACTAGCCCAGCATGAGTGAGACTGGTGGAGAACTGTCTCTTGATCTCTCTGCTGCCTCTGCTTTACACATGAAACAACTGAAGTCCAGATTACTCCGCCGGACACAGGCAGTGAACAGCAGACCTAGAATCAGACCCAGGGGTCATTGATTTTGGGTCTGTGCCTTGTCCACTCTCTCGTGGAACTGGAGGAGGGGCCCTGAGGGGAGAAGTGTGATGGGGATCCCCTTGAATAGTGTGGGAGAGGAGTAATACGAGCAGAGTGAAAGGAGATGAAGGGATCAGATTTCTAGGATCTTCAAGGCATGAGTAGGGACTTTGGGTTTTTGTCCAGATGTGATGCAGCACCTGAGGGATTTAAACAAAAGTGTGAGGAGATCTGACTCATGTTTTACTTTTATTTCTGAAGGATTTTTTATTTCTTTATGCACACAAGAACTGGGGTGTAGGCCACAGGTGTGGGGTGTGAGAAGATTCACCAGAGACAGTGGGGAGCAGACCAGGGAGATCTACTGAAATCCACTGCTGAGGGGAGCAGCGGGGAAGACAGATGTCTGCTATGCCACGTGGGTCACTCCCTGACCGGGGATCAAATCAGGTCACAGTGGCTGGCAATAGCTTCATTGTGCGGAGTCTTTAAGCCCAGTACCGCCCAGGAGGCCCTTACTCCTGTTCCTGCTCTGTAAAACGGGGACAACCATAGTACCTCCGCGTAAGGTTGTCACGAGGGATAAACGGAAAGAAGTGGGAGGATGTGGCAAGTCTTCGCTGGTGCCAGGCAGAACAGACCACTGAGGGGGCGCTGGCCATGACCACACAGAGGGTATAACGGTGGGGGTGGGAGCCAAAGGCACTGATGACCTGGAGGACCGGGAGTCCACAGAAGGCCGGGGGTGGGGGTGTCTCTCCTGTCACCTGGCAGCACGTCCTAGAATGAGGCCCTGGGGCAGGCACACTGAGTCCGAGCCCGGCAAGTGTGAGAAGGGGCGCAGGGTCCACTAGATGAGCAGGAGGCGGCCTCAGTCGGAAAATGGCAGCCGCAGGGAGGGGTAGGAAGATGGAGCCAGCAGGGCACTCAAGCCCCAGGCAGGACCAGGAAAGCAGGGGCCGTCTGGTCCCGGAAGGCCGCAGGGGAGATCAGGTCTAGAGCCAGGGCCCCACTCCCGACCCGGGGCTGCCGCCCGCAGCAGCGGCTTCTCCAAACCGAAACGGAAGAGAACTCGGCAGACAGAGAGCAAAAGCTGGGCAGCAGCCTACGAGGGAGGGCACGAGGGCCACGCGCAGCGGGCGCCCGCGCCCCAGCAGGCCCCAGCCCGAGCCGCTCTGCCCCGACTGCGCATGCCCAGCGCGCCCACCGCCCCCGCTGCCCAGCGGCTCCTCGAAGGCTCGGGTTTCGCGAGGCCGCGGGGCGGTGTACTCTGCGTCCGTCTCCGGCCTTGAAAGGGGGGTGGTGAGCGGACTGGGGTACGGGCCATGCAGGAAGGGGCGAGTCCTGAACTAGGCCGCCCGGCTTAGAAGGCGGCCACGAGTTGAAGAGGCCTGCGGCGGCTCCTCGCGCTCAAGGGCCGTTTGCCACCACGAGTGGCGTTGTTACTGCGATGACGCCACCCCCCGCCGGCCCGGCTCGGCCCACGCGGGAGGGAGAGCCGGGGAGGCGGAGGCCGGTGCGGACTTCGCGAGCCAGGTAGTGCCCTCGAGCCGCGGCACGCAGGAGGGGCCGCCCGGCGCCGCCATTTCCGGGTTCCGAGCGTAGTTACCATGGAGACGCCTCCACCTTGGCCACGCCGATAGAAAGTTTTTGTTTTCTCTGTTCTCAGTGGGAAGCGCCAACTGGGCTGGGTCATGGGTGCGGCCGACACGCCCCACTTCGGGCAGCGCGGCGTCGGAGCCGTACCTTAGCGTCATTTCCGCTCACCTCCCCACATCCGGAAGGGGCGGAGCCAGGCGCAAGGCGCGCGGCTTATGCGTCACTTCCGGTGAGTCTGTCGGCGAGAACGGCAACATGGCCCTAAACGGCGCCGGTGAGGGCTTGGGCTGCGCGGGCTTATTGCTGCGGGGTACGGGAGGCAACCCACTGGGCGAGACTCCCTGGCCCCTTGTGCCTCTCTCCCCACAGACGTCGACGATTTCTCCTGGGAGCCCCCAACCGAAGCGGAGACCAAGGTGCTGCAGGCGCGGCGGGAGCGGCAGGATCGCATCTCCCGGCTCATGGGCGACTACCTGCTGCGTGGTTACCGCATGCTGGGCGAGACGTGCGCGGACTGCGGGGTGAGGAGAGACACGGGACGTGAGATCCGCGAGGGGCCCGAGGACCAGGCCTCACGGCCCCTCCCAACTCTCCCTCTGTACCCCTTGGGCCGTCGTCTCACCCTGATGCTTTCTGGCTCCTAGACGATCCTCCTCCAAGACAAACAACGGAAAATCTACTGCGTGGCTTGTCAGGAGCTCGACTCAGACGTGGATAAAGATAATCCGGGTGAGGGGCCGAGCGTGGCTGGTGGAGAAGCGTGGTGATGCAGGCCAGGGAACACTAGGTGACAGTGGAGTCGTGGGTGGGGCGGAGACAGGGCGCCTTTTTTTGTCAGCTCTGGAGAGGGCCATGCCTTCAGTGCGAGCATCAGACGCCTTCTGTGTGCCATCACGATGGGAGAGTCCAAGTTTATCAGGATTAGTCCTGATGGGAGAAATGAAGCAAAAGTAGAAGTAACTGATACAAGGAAGAAAATGGCCTTACAGAGAGGCAGGGGAAACAGCTCAGTCGCGGGGAAGGTCAAGGAAGTGACTCGGGGCTTTGGTGGGCAGGCATCTGACCATTCTACCCACTTTTTCCTCTTTCAGCTCTGAATGCCCAGGCTGCCCTCTCCCAAGCCCGGGAGCACCAGCTTGCCTCTGCCTCAGAGCTCCCCTTGGGGTCTCGACCCACCCCTCAACCCCCTGTCCCCCGCCCAGAGCATTGTGAGGGAGCTGCAGCCGGGCTCAAGGCAGCCCAGGGACCACCCCCTCCTGCAGCCCCTCCAGATGCAGATGTGGTAGCCTCCACACAGGAGGCCCTCCTGCAGAAACTGACCTGGGCCTCGGCTGAGCTAGGCTCTAGCACCTCCCTGGAGACTAGTATCCAGGTGTGTAGCCTCATTCGGGCTTGTGCCGAGGCCCTGCACAGCCTTCGGCAGCTGCAACACTAAACCCCTCCTGAGAAAAACCTCCAGAAAAACAGCTGTTCCTCTCGTGTGGTTTGTTCTGCTTCTGGGAGTAGCATGTTGGCTTCAGCTCCACTTGCCTTTCCTTTTCCTTGCTTTTTGCCTCGTACCCAACCCGTCAGCCCTCTCTGATGCCCTGAGAGAGGAGTGGAGCAGTTTCCCCACTCAGAGGAGGGCGGGGAAGAGGGCTTGGCGACGATCCCTGCAGTCCTTTAGCAGTCTTTAAGTGGGATTTGGGGCTCCAGCCCCCTTGGTAGCTCCCCCCCCCCCCCGAGGGCCCATGCTGTGCCATCTTTGATCCCACCCAGGCCTCTCCCTGATAGTCCACCAGCTTGCCCTTTAGGGGCCAATTACGGCCCAGTTTTAGATCCTTTTCCTTGGGAGTTACTGGGCAGAATGACTGAGCCGCGGAGAAGGGGCAGAAGGAGCTATGACGGAATCGCTCCCGCGCTCTTCCCTCCATCCCGTTTTGTGGGCGCTCACCCCCTTTTCCTCTGTTGCGGGCGGCGCGGTGCCCGTTTAAGAAAGGCCCCGCCCCCAGGGGCGGGCAGAGGCGGAGCGGCGGAGTCGGGGAAGGAACAAAGCGCGGCCTGCGGGCGGCGGCTGGGCTCGGCCGGC